GGCTTCTTTGCCAATTTGGATGCCTTTTATTTCTTTTTGTTGTCTGATTGATGAGGCTAGGATTTCCTGTACCATGTTGAACAACAATGGTGAGAGTGGACATCCCTGATGTGTTCCTGACCTTAGGAAAAAAGATCTGAATTTTCCTCTTTTAGAATATTTGCTGTGGGTTTTTAATATATGGCTTTTATGATATTGAGGTATGTTCCCTCTATCCCTACACTGCAGAATTTTTATCAAGAAAGGATGCTGTATTTTGTCAAATGCTTTTTCTGAATCTATTCAAAATATCATATGGTTCTTGTCCTTCCTTTTATTAATGTGTTGTGTCACATTGATTGATTTGTGGATGTTGAACTACCTTTGCAGCCCAGGAATACATCTCTCTTGGTTTTGGTAAGTAATCCTTTTAATGTACTGTTAGATACTATTAGCTAGGATCTTCGTGAGAATTTTTGCATCCATGTTCATCAGGGACATTGGTTTGTAATTTTTTTTTTGTGGGGGCTTTGTCTGATTTTGGGATCAAGGTAATGCTGGCCTCATAGAATGAGTTTGGAAATTGTCCTTCCATTTCTTTTTTTTTTTTTTGAAACGGCTTCAGAAGAATAGGTATTAGTTCTTTTTACAATGTTTTTTAGAATTCTGCTGAGAAGCCATCTGGCCCTGGACTCTTGTTTGTTTGGGAGGTTTCTGATTACTGATTTAATTTCTTTGCTGGTTATGGGCTTGTTGAGGTTTTCTATTTCTTCCTGTTTCAGTTTTGGTAGTTTTTATGTTTCTAGGAATACATCTACTTCTTCCAGATTCCCTAATTTGTTGGCATATAATTGCTCATAATATTTTTTATAATTGTTTGTATTTCTTAAGTGTTGGTTGTGATCTCTCCTCTTTCATTTATGGTTTTATTTGGGTCCTTTCTCTCTCTTTTTAAAAAAATAAGTCTTGCTAGGATTTAAGAGTTTTCTTAATTTCTAGTTTTGTTGATATGTTCTGTATTTTTTCAAAATCTCCATATCATTGATTTCTGCCGCAATCTTTATTATTTATCTTCTTTTGCTGGATTTAGGCTTTGTTTGCTGTTCTTTTCCAGCTCCTTTTGGTGTAAGGTTAGGTTGTGTATTTGAGACCTTTCCTGTTTCTTGAGAAAGGCCTGTATTCCTATATACTTCCCTCTTATGACTCTCTTTGCTGCATCCCAAAGGTTCTGAATTGTTGTGTTTTCATTTTCATTTGTTTCCATGTATTTTTTTAAAAAAATTTTCCTTTAATTTCTTGGTTGACTCATTCGTTCTTTAGTAGGATGCTCTTTAACCTCCATGTATTTGTCTTCCCTCCAAATTTTTAAAAAAGATTTTATTTATTTATTTATGAGAGACAGAGATAGAGAGAGAGAGAGAGGCAGAGACACAGGCAGAGGGAGAAGCAGGCTCCATGCAGGGAGCCCAACGTGGGACTCAATTCCAGCTCCCCAGGACCACGCCCTGGGCCAAAGGCAGTGCTAAACCATTGAGCCACCCGGGCTGCCCCCTTCCAAATTTTTTCTTGTGATTGAGTTCAAATTTTAAAGCATCATGGTCTGAAAATATACATGGTATAATCTCAGTCTTTTGGTACCAGTTAAGACCTGATTTGTGACCCAGTATGTGATCTCTTCTGAAGAATGTTCCATGTGCACTCAAGAAGAATGTGAGTACTTTGCTTTAGTGTGAAATATTCTGAATATATATATGAAGTCCATCTGGTCCAGTGCGTCATTCAAAGCCCTTGTTTCTTTGTTGATCTGCTTAGATTATCTATCCATTGCTGTGAGTATGGTGTTAAAGTCCCTTACTATTATTGTATTATTTTCAATGTGTTTCTTTGATTTTGTTATTAATTGATTTATATAATTGCTCCCAAGTTAGGAGCATAAATATTTACCATTCTTAGTTTTTTTTGTTAGAGAGATCCTTTTATTATAGTAGAGTGTCCTTCTTCATCTCTTATTACAGTCTTTGGTTTAAAATCTAGTTTGTCTGATATAAAGATTGCTACTCTAGTTTTCTTTTGATGTCCATTAGCATGATAAATGGTTCTCCACCCTCTCACTTTCAATCTGGAGGTGTCTTTGAGTCTAGAATGAGTCACTTATAGATAGCATATCTTTTGATTGGAGCATTTAGTCCATTTACACTCAGAGTAAGTACTGAAAGATCTGAGTTTTAGTGCCATTTACCTGTAAAGTTGTTGTTTCTGTAGATTGTCTCTGTTCCTTTCTGGTCTTTGTTACTTTTGGGCTCTCTATTCATTCAGAGGATCCCTTTCAATATTTCTTGCAGGGCTGGTTTAGTATTCACAAGTTGCTTCAGCTTTTGTTTGTCCTAGAAACTCTTGATCTCTCCTTCTATTCTGAATGATAGCCTTGCTGAATAAACTATTCTTTATTGCATTTTTTCCCCATTTAGCACAATGAATATATCATGCCAGTCCTTTCTGGCTTGCCAGGTCTCTGTGGACTGGTCTGCTGCCAACCTTATGTTTCTGCTCTTGTAGGTTAAGAACCTTCTGTCCTGAGCTGCTTTCAAGACTTTCTCTTTATCTCTTAAGTTTGCAAGCTTCATTATTTATTATAGGTCGAGGTGTTGATCTATTTTTATTGATTTTGAGGGGGGTTTTCTGTGCCTCCTGGACTCATGCTTGTTTCTTTCCCCAGATTAGGGAAGTTAAAATTATTCTCATTTTTAAAAATTTTTTTTTCTTTTTTGGGTTCTGACTGAGTGATTTCCACTGTTCTGTCTTCCAGATTGCTGATCCATTCTTCTGTATCATCTAATCTGCTGTTGATTCCTAGTGTATTTTTCAATTCAATTATTGTATTCTTCAGCTCTGTAATTCCTGTTTGGTACTTTCTTATATTTTCTAACTTTTTGTTGTAAGTCTTACTGTGTTCCTCCATTCTTCTCCTGAGTTTGGTGAGCATCTTCATGACCATTACTTTGAACTCTACTTTGCCTGGTAAGTGACCTATCTCTATTTTGTCAGGGTTTTTTCCCCCTGGGGTTTTATCTTGTTCTTTCATTTAGAATATATTCTTCTGTATCCTCATTTTGTTTGAATTTCAAGGTTAGTCTCTACAACTTAGGTGGAATAGTCACCTCTCCCAATCTTAAGGGGTAGCCTTGTGTAGGATGTCCCCTGTGTACATTGCATATGCCTGGAAATTTTGGCTGGCTGGCTGGCTGGCTGGAGCTGAAGCCAGCATGGTGTGGGAGAGTCCAGGGGTACACTATACCTGGACAACCCTGATGGGGTTGGCTGGAGCTGGAGCAGGCACTGGCTAGAAGTTCTGGGGGTGCACTGAGACCAGAAGCCACGTTGGTGGGGTGGTTGGAGCTGGGTGGGCATGGGTGGAGAGCTATCTGGGGGTTAGCTGGTATGGGCCAAGGGCCTGGGGCTTGCTGGAGTAACCCTGGCAGGCCAACCAGAGTGCCTGGGCCCTGCTCCCATCTGCACTATCAAGGTGGAAGGGAATGTAAACAATGGTGCTTATTGGGACCTTCAACCTGGAGAGTGTTCCAGTAGTTCCCCTTCCCTTGCCATTTAGTGGATGTGAGTGGATTTCATTCATTTATAGTCTTGTTGCCCTTTAAGCCACTATTTTTCTGGTGTCCCAGGGTGGGTGAGTCTGGGTTTATGGCCAGTGCTATATTTTCTCACTGCAAATTATCACATTGGTTCGGGGTGTGAGAGGGGTGTTTTCCCATGGTTACCATGTTTTCATCTTTCCTGCTATTCCTCTGTGTGGCCCCTCTAACCTTTGTTGTATAGAAGTTGTTCAATCAGCTCTCAGTTCTTCAGGATGAATTGCTCCATATGTGGGTGTAGATTTGGTGTGTCCTTGGGAGGAGATGAGTTCAGAGTCTTCCTATGCCAGCATCTTGGACCGTCTCCTTCGGCTTTTGTTTCTCCTTAGTTCAGCAACGTAACTTGAACTATTTTTAGTTTTTTAAAGATTAGCTCATTTTTAAAAATATGTATCTTGCTGGCCTGGTTCTTGTTTTCCTTCATTTTGGATGTTTCTATTATTTTCTGGAAGGATTTAACTGAGAAAAGGCACTTACTTCTCTGATGGATTATTTACTGATTTTTCCACACATCGCTATCTTTCTTATTTTACAAATAAAGAAGCTGAAGTAAAGAGAGAATAAATGACTTATCACATTTTAAACAAGCTTCAACAGCTGAATCTGAGGCAGGTGGTCTTTTGGCCACACTCTACAAAACACTGTAATAAGCTAGAAGCTCTTGGAGAACAGTCATATCTTCTTAGGTACATTCTTTATACCTTTTTCCACAGAGTGGTTCAGAAATAATTATCTGTTATAGGACAGCAGATTATCCCAGTCAAGGCTGCTGCTAGCCCATAGGGTATCTTTGTGCAAAGCAGAAGTCATCCTTTCAGATAAACACAGCCTTGAGGGAGCATGGTCCAACTAGCAGGGCACAAATGAAATTTTAAACCCACACCTGTTGGTTGGCCGAACACCTTGATGCAGACATAGCCTGTACAATAGTATGTGATGACCCTGACCATCGTCACCATTTGCCAGTATGACCCCTTTCTGACAGTTAAAACAAAGTTAAGCATTTGAGAGACCCACACAGTCAGTAAAATTCCATTTATATGGGGCTTAGCTCTGCTTTACATAACATTCATCACCTTCTGCTGTTTTAATTCTAAAGCTTTGACTTCGAGATATCACCTCGAATAATTTCTAGACATTAATGGAAGGCTAGAATTAAAAATAAATAAGCTAGAGACCAGAAGGCCATTCAAAGACCAAAGGAAACATGAGTAAGCTAGGCCTCTTCAACATCCCTGGATGTAAAGATTATCATTGAACCACTCCTCTGATCCTAGACAGAATGGGAAGATCATGGGAGCACTTTGCAAGCTATTTGGTTAGTCTTCTTGATTTTCTGAGTGGCTCTCCCAGTGACCCTCAGATGATGCTTACCTTCTGTTTTGATCCGCAGGGCTGTCCGGACCAGGGCAAACAGGGTGGCATTGAACATGACCGTCCCATCACTGTTCAGAGGCATGTTCATGGAGACTAGACGCTGGAGGGGAAGTGGAGGCAAAGCTAAAGTGATCACAGCAAACAGTTCTCAAAGGACCCACAGAACCACAATGGCAGGAGAATGCTGGGATGGAGCCTTGAAACTTGTGTGCATGTGTCAGAAGCAGGCAGGGGTTTGAGGCATGGGTCACTAAAATGTATTTAAAACCTATTCTGGGGAGGATGTCAGCTCTGCCATAAATCTCAGCTCTTCCACCAGAGTGAGGGAGGAATAATATTTGTTCTTATTACATCTTTGCTTCCACAAAAGGATGTTTAGCCCACCAAAACCCCTCCTTAGTTCAAATGTCTACTCAGGCATATGGGTGTGCTCTCTACTGGCAACAAAGAACAGCTGCATGCCAGGCACTTGCTGAGAGCCCACCTGCCAGCCAGCATTCATCCAAAGCCCTGATAAGACAGTATCATAAGAATACTGTCATAAGTATTATGATATGATATGATAAGACAGTAATGGTAGGTTTGCATCCAGGAGACAGTAATGGCAGGTTTGCATGCAGGATGTAGTGCATCCTCTTTTCTGTATACTGAAAAATATACCTCTGCATCAAGCTGGGCCAAAAGCTTGTTGACTGGTTAGGATTGGATTGCCCTTTTCCATCCTTTCTCACCACCCTAAATTGCTGCCATTGATTGTGCCCTGGTGTGGGACCCTCAATGCACACCAGAGTAATTATGAGAAAGAGCACCATGAAAGTCATTCTGACGTTTGCTCTCAAGATGCGGTCAAAGAGGGGAGGGGCAAGATGGCGGAAGAGCAGGGTCCCCAAATCACCTGTCCCCACCAAATTACCTAGATAACCTTCAAACCATCCTGAAAATTTACGAATTCGGCCTGAGATGTAAAGAGAGACCAGCTGGAATGCTACAGTGAGAAAAGTCCGCGCTTCTATCAAGGTAGGAAGACGGGGAAAAAGAAATAAAGAAACAAAAGGCCTCCGAGGGGGAGGGGCCCCGCGAGGAGCCGGGCTGAGGCCGGGGCGAGTGTCCCCAGGACAGGAGAGCCCCGTCCCGGAGAAGCAGGAGCTGCACCAACCTTCCCGGGCTGGCGGAAAGGGGCTCGCAGGGAGGTGGAGCAGGACCCAGGAGGGCGGGGATGCCCTCGGGCTCCCTGGGACACTAACAGGCACCTGCGCCCCGGGAGAGTGCTCCGAGCTCCCTAAGGGCTGCAGCACGCACCGGAGCAGTTCGGAGGGGCTCGGGAGCGGCTCCAGGGAGGGAGCTGCGGGGCGGGAGCGCAAATCCAACAACACAGGCCCCGGAGCACAGGGCGCCGGGACACAGCCCAGGATCCGGCCTCCCCCCGGGACAGGCAGAGGCCGGGAGGGCCCAGGACAGCAAGGACGCTCCTGCCCCGAGCTGAGCAGATCAGCGGCCCCGCCCCGGAGCCTCCAGGCCCTGCAGACGGAGAACCGAGAGCCCCGAGCCCCGTAGTTCCTGCGGAGGCTGAATCCAGGCTTCCAGAGTTGCCATAGCAACTGCAACTGTTCCTCCTGAGACCTCACGGGGTAAACAACCCCCGCTGAGCCCTGCAGCAGGCAGGGGCAGAGCAGCTCCCCCAAGTGCTAACACCTGAGAATCAGCCCAACAGGCCCCTCCCCCAGAAGACCAGCTAGAGGGACCAGTGATACTCCCCCGTGTTCCAATACAACTTGTTTTTGGCCACTCTGCACTGAGCAAAATGACTAGAAGGAAAACCTCACTTCAAAAGAAAGAATCAGAAACAGCCCTCTCTCCCACAGAGTTACAAAATCTGGATTACACTTCAATGTCAGAAAGCCAATTCAGAAGCACTATTCTACAGCTACTGGTGGCTCTAGAAAAAAGCATTAAGGCCTCACGAGACTTCATGACTGCAGAATTTAGATCCAATCAGGCAGAAATTAAAAATCAATTGAATGAGATGCAATCCAAACTAGAAGTCCTAACGACGAGGGTTAACGAGGTGGAAGAACGAGTGAGTGACATAGAAGACAAGTTAATGGCAAAGAGGGAAACTGAGGAAAAAAGAGATAAACAATTAAAGAACCATGAAGACAGATTAAGGCAAATAAATGACACTCTAAGGAAGAAAAACCTACGTTTAATTGGGGTTCCCGAGGGCGCCGAAAGGGACAGAGGGCCAGAATATGTATTTGAACAAATCCTAGCTGAAAACTTTCCCAATCTGGGAAGGGAAACAGGCATTCGGATCCAGGAAATAGAGAGATCCCCCCCTAAAATCAATAAAAACCGTTCAACATCTCGACATCTAATAGTTAAGCTTGCAAATTCCAAAGATAAAGAGAAGATCCTTAAAGCAGCAAGAGACAGAAGTCCCTGACTTTTATGGGGAGGAGTATTAGGGTAACAGCAGACCTCTCCACAGAGACCTGGCAGGCCAGAAAGGGCTGGCAGGATATATTCAGGGTCCTAAATGAGAAGAACATGCAACCAAGAATACTTTATCCAGCAAGGCTCTCATTCAAAATGGAAGGAGAGATAAAGAGCTTCCAAGACAGGCAGGAACTGAAAGAATATGTGACCTCCAAACCAGCTCTGCAAGAAATTTTAAGGGGGACTCTTAAAACTCCCCTTTAAGAAGAAGTTCAAGTAACTCTGAACGTGAATGGACTTAATGACCCCATCAAAAGGCGCAGAGTTTCAGACTGGATAAAAAAACAGGACCCATCTATTTGCTGTCTACAAGAGACTCATTTTAGACAGAAGGACACCTACAACCTGAAAATAAAAGGTTGGAGAACCATTTACCATTCAAATGGTTCTCAAAATATACCCTAAAAACTACAGAACACTTCTGAAAGAAATTGAGGAAGACACAAAGAGTTGGAAAAATATTCCATGCTCATGGATTGGCAGAATTAATATTGTGAAAATGTCAATGTTACCCAGGGCAATTTACACGTATAATGCAATCCCTATCAAAATACCATGGACTTTCTTCAGAGACTTAGAACAAATTATTTTAAGATTTGTGTGGAATCAGAAAAGACCCCAAACAGCCAGGGGAATTTTAAAAAAAGAAAACCATATCTGGGGGCATCACAATGCCAGATTTCAGGTTGTACTACAAAGCTGTGTTCATCAAGACAGTGTGGTACTGGCACAAAAACAGACACATAGATCAATGGAACAGAACAGAGAACCCAGAAGTGGACCCTGAACTTTATGCTCAACTAATATACGATAAAGGAGGAAAGACGATCCACTAGAAGAAAGACAGTCTCTTCAATAAATGGTGCTGGGAAAATTGGACATCCACATGCAGAAGAATGAAACTGGACCACTCTCTTGCACCATACACAAAGATAAACTCAAAATAGATGAAAGATCTAAATGTGAGACAAGATTCCATCAAAATCCCAGAGAAGAACTCAGGCAACACCCTTTTTTAACTTGGCCACAGTAACCGGAGAAGGACAAACAGTGTATGTTCTCATTCATTTGGGGAATATGAATAATAGCGAAAGGGAATATAAGGGAAGGGAGAAGAAATGTGTGAGAAATATCAGAAAGGGAGACAGAACATAGAGACTCCTAACTCTGGGAAATGAACTGGGGGTGGTGGAGGGGGAGGAGGGTGGGGGGTGGGGGTGAATGGGTGACGGGCACTGAGGGGTACACTTGACGGGATGAGCACTGGGTGTTATTCTGTATGTTGGTAAATTGAACACCAATAAAAATTAATTTATAAAAAAAAAACATTAAGTTATTCAGTACATTTCAAACAAACAAAAAAAAAAAAAGATGCGGTCAAAGATGTTACTTATTAGATCACATGGTGTCCTCCTGTTAATCATAGTGCCAAGAGGAGTTATAATTTTCCTGACTGACTGGATCTTCTTGCCTCTCACAGACATTGTGAATTATGGCGCAGTCACTGGGAAGCTGAACATCCAGTTGCTAGCCTGTCCAGGCCCATCTGGAGGCCATGATGGATGCACTATCACCTCATGCAGGACACACTTGTCCCTGCTTTTTTTTTTCCATTGTGCTTTGACTTTCCATTTGTGCTTTTTCCCCCTCATATCTTCTATAACCTTGGAAATCTTCTAAAATATTTTTTGGAACAAAGTGGAGATATAAATGAGAAAAAACTGAGTAAAACAAAGCACAATTCAATTTTCCATTTTCCATGAATGGATTATCCACAGTTGAATTTTTGTATTTGTGCTTCTATACAGCTCTCTGACCTCACTTCCCCCAACCCCTTTCAGCTCATTGTTATTCCAACAGGGATTACAGAATGGTGGAAATGGGAATTAAAATAAGAGGGAATGGAGTAGGAATAATACTCTCCAGCAACTGTGGGGCTATCTGGCTGGGATTACTGTGAGGTAAGGGAGGTGCCTGGGCACACAATTTAAGGGAGTGCTCACTCTCAGGATCATGTGAGGACCACATGAGCAAGAGTTGGGTCTAAAGAGTCTAGGATGCTTGTCTTTTACTTTTATGGGGTCATGGACTCGCTTAGAAATCTGATGAACATGACAGATCCTCTCTCTGGTATAATTTGTGAGTGTTTCAGGGATTTTGTACACAGCTTTAGGGCTTTTGAGGTCCCTGAAGCTGAAGCATGGACTCTTTAATAGCCCTCTGATCCCAGTAAGAGAACTCCTAATCCGTCCATCCTTGGCTGGACGTCTTCCAGGATGCCTAGGTGGTACAGACTGATGGGACTGTGCATGTGGCTCACTGGGTCAAGAGGCATTCACTTCAGTTTTCCTTTATACAATCTGAGGACTTCCTGTTGGAAGGAACCTTAAAATATAATCTGGTTCAAGCTCATTTCTTTAATACATAAGTATTATCTTCATTCCCTTAAAGGATCAATGGCCTGACCACGGTCACAAGACAAATAGGCTTCTTCCCTCCCTTGTTTTCTTTTTCTCCCGTGAACCCAGGTCATCTCTTACTTTGCAAGCCACACGGTGAGGGCACAGCTTCCCAAAACCCAGCGGGGGCTGAATCCGCCGGAGCAGGGTCACTACATCTAGGTGTTTGATTCGACCCCTAAAAGAGAGAGGAGAGGAGAGAAAGATCCGTCAGAGGGCCATGGTCTCAGCGAGCAGCCCAGGACGTATGTACCAGGCTCTCCATAGCTGTTGCCCTATTGGTCAAACTCGGTACAGAGTTGCAGAATTGCATGGTAAAACCCCAAAACCAGTATATACATGTTTAGATTTTGATGAGCAATTTTCCACTAGGGCTGTGTTCAAGAAAGGGACTTTGAGTAGTGCAATTAGACTCTCACATATACTTGCTGCTGCAATCTAACCATGTGACCAAGAGGCATTTATTAACTGTTAATCAAATGTGATTGTATCCTTGAATCCGAGGTGAGAATAGAGTTGAGATCTACTTGACTCTAAACATTTTCACTTGAATACTTACTAGGATTTCCCATCCTTCTGTTCAACTGAAAATAGTTACATTCTTGACTTAGCCAAAGATGCTTGGCCTGTTATTGCTGGACCTTGACTCTTGACCGTGGGGTCTGGTGTTGTTCAGTGTTTCTAATTGGTCCACCCAGTGCTAACCTGTGTTGAACCTCTTCTATAGGTATGGTCCTCTGGGCTTTGGAAATCAGTGTTTCCCTCTGGGAACTTACTTGGCTTCAGGATCATACTCTGCCCAGATTCTTTTAAATTCATCCAGATGATGGGGACCAAGAATTGACCAGTCCCTTGTCAGATAGTCAAAGTTATCCATGATGACAGCTACAAAGAGGTTAATGATCTGCAGAGAACAGAGATATGATGAGTTTTTTGCCACCTGAATCCATTTTGCCAGCTGGTGCCATGCATGGTAGAAGCCACATTTCTAAAGACCAGCTATATTCATCATTTAAAACACCAGCCCCTGGAACTCGGGTCTCTTTGGTATGAATCTGACACAGCTCTCCTCAGAATGATGTGGAATGAACCCCACATGTGGGCTGGACAGCTTCCCTCATACTAAACTGCTGGGCAGTTTGTCCCCTAAGGACAGGGGGGCAACTTTTTCCACCACTCTTCCTCACACTGCTCATCAAAGTGTCAAAAACATATGGGTTGCCTCTAGGCCTCTACACACATCCCTTTCTGTCCCCTGGGACAATGCCACCATGACAAGAGCCAAGAATGCATAAGAAAGATGCTGGTTGGGCTCACTCTGGCCCAGGGCTTTGTGTCCTTGTCTACTGGTTGGACATTGCTACTAACTGAGTCTTTCCAAGTCTGTTTCTCTGACTGCAAGATGCAGAGATAGAGGGCGTAGGCTGCCTTGAACTGCATACTCATGACATGTGGGCTGTTCAGTCCCACCTCAGCTTACCAGGAAGGCACAGAGCATGTAGAAGCTGATGAAGTAGAAGACTGCGAAGCTGCTGCCACAGGGTGTTTCACCTTCTGTACTGTTGCTGGGCTCCGACTCAGGGGCACACTTCTTCCCTGGCATACAGGCCAGCATGATGTCCTGCCATGCCTCCCCTGTGGCACACCTAGGGGAGAGCAGTGAGAGAGTCTACCACCCGTGGGGCCCATCTCATATCTCTGGATCTTTCCCTCACCCCTTGCCCCATCCTCCTTTCCCAGAGAGAACTTCTAAATTGAATTTGGTGTTTATCATTCCCTGAATGCTCTGGTACATTCACTAAATATGAAAATACATGGCATCATTTTGAATGTTTTAAAACTTTCCATAAATGGTAACAAACTATCTGTTCTGAAAAATCCCTCTGTTTGTAATTCATGTTAAGTTTTGGAGATTTTTCCATTAGCCTCTAGTTCATCCATCTTAATGGCCAGATAGCAGTATATTCTATGTATATACCATTTTTAAAAACCTGCCATCTTGTTAAAGGTTTCTCTTTTTCTTTTCTCTTTTGCTATTACAAAGAACCCTGCAATCAACATTCAGGTCCATGCCTTGGATATCTGCTTAGAAAGTGGAATTGCCAGGTGAAGCCGACATGTCTTCACTTTCACTTGGTATTGCTGATTCTCCAAGGGTTTGTGCAATTTATGTTCTGGTCATCAGTGTGGGACAAATGCCATTGCTCTGCAGACCTATCAACTTTTTTCCAGTTTTACTGAGGTATATGGTGAATAAAATTGTAAGATATTTAAAGTGTCAATCATGACAATTTGAGTTGTGGAGGGATTCTTTCCACCTAGTTAACAGATCTTCAGACCTTCCTTATCTTAGAGCTGGAAGTGTGTGCCCTTCTACCAACTTCTCCCTATCCCCACTGCATCCAGCTCTTGGCAATTCCTTTTCTACTTTCTGATTCAATGAGTTTAGACTTGTCAACTCTTTATATTAGTGAATCTTAAAAAATGTTGCTCATATGATGGATGTAAAATGATATTTCATTGCTGTCTTAATTTAGGTTTAAATGATTAATAGGTTAAGAATTTTTATTTTATCTTCTGTGAACTGCATTTTCATATTTTTGTCTGTTTGTCTCATGGGTTATTTGTCTTCTTGTTCATTGTGAGTTTTAAAATATATTCTTTCTATTAATACTTTGTGAGTTACATGTGTAGTATGTACTTTCTTCCAACCTATGGCTTGTCTACAGCCTTATTTACAGTGAAGCTTATTTATTTTGAATGTATATTTTATTTTAAGATTTATCTATTTATTTTAGAGAGAGAGAGAGAGAGTGAGTGAGCTGGGGGAGGGGTAAAGGGAGAGAGAAAATCTCAAGCAGACTTCCCACTGAGTAGGGAGCCCAACAGGGGGCTCCATCCTATGACCCTGAGATCATGACCTGAGCTGAAATCAAGAATTGGACATTTAACTAACTGAGGCATGCAGGTGCCCCTGATTGATCTAACTTTTAAATTTCACTGCTTTTTGTCATCTTGTTTAAAGAAGTCTTTCCTTAGTCTCGGTGATAAAGATATCCTCCTATATGTTCTAAAACTTCTAAGATTTTGTTTTATATAATAACCCATTAATCTGAAATTTGTTTTTGTGTTCAATATAAGGTAGAAATATGCTTTATCTTTTCCTGTTTAGATAACCAATGTTCTTAATACAATTTATTGAATAGTTCATCTTTACTGATTTGGAATATCCCTTCTGACATAAATTATATTTCCATAGATGTGTGAGTCTCATGATAGCCTTTTCATTCTCTTCTGTAGGTTTATTTGTCTATGTTGGTACCAATGGACCACATTGTCTTAATCACTATAGTTCTATATTAAGTCTTGCTCTCTTATAAACAGTGAGTCCTTCCAGCTTATTGTTTTTCAAAATTGTCTTGGCTATTCATTTTCCTTTTTTCTTATACAGATACATTAGAATCAGCTCAAGTTCGATGAATAATCTCACTGTGAGTCTTACTGGAATGGCATAGATTAACTTGGAGAATCTGATATTTTTGTAACATTATGTCTCCCAGCCATGAACATGGCACATCTCTCCATTTAGTTAGGCCTTATTTAATGTCTTTTAAGAAATTTTTATAATTCCCCCATGTATATATTTTTTAGATTATTTCTAGGTATCTTACTTAAACAAAATGTTGCTATTATAAGCAGTACACTCAAGAAGCTATATTTCCTGTAAAGGCATACAATTGACTTTATATATAGAAGTTTGCTGAATTCTCATAGCTCTACAGTTTCTCTTGTGTAGTTTACATAGGCAATTAATTTTTTAAAAAGGGTTTATTTATTTTCTTTTTATTGTAGTAAAATACATATAACATAAAATTTACCATCTTAACTATTTTTAAGTATTTAGTTTAGTGGTATTAAATATATTCACATTGTTGTACAGCCATCACCAGCATCCATCTCCATAGTTCTTTTCATCTTGTAAAATTGAAACTCTGCCTATTAACTGATAACTCCCCATTCTCCTCTATCCCTCGGCCCTGGCAACCACCACTCTACTTTATGTATTACAATTTTGACTAAGGACCTCATATAAGTGGAATAACATAGTATTAGTCTTTTGTGATGGGTTTATTTCACTTAGCATAATGTTCTTGGGTTTCAATCATGTTGTAGCATACTGCAGAATTTCTTTCCTTTTTCAAGGCTGAATAATATTTCATTATATGTATATACCACATTCTGCTTATCTATTCATCTGTCACTGGGCACTTGGGTTGCTTCCACATTTTGCCCATTGTGAATAATGCTGTTATGAACAGGAGTATATAAATATTTCTTCTAGATCTTGCTTTCAATTGTTTGGGATATATACCCAGAAATGGAATTGATGGATCATATGGTAATTTTATTTTTAATTTTTTGAGGAACTATCATACTGTTTTCCACAATGGCTATGCCTTTTCATATCCCACTAGCAGGACATAAAGATTCCAATTGCTCCACATCCTTGCCAACACTTGTTGTTTTCTGTTTTATTTTATTTATTTTATTTTATTTTATTTTATTTTATTTTATTTTATTTTATTTTATTTTATTTTATTTTATTTTATTTTATTTTATTTTTTTGATAGTAGTAGCCCTTCTAATGAATATGAGGTTATCTTACTATAATTTTGATTTACATTTCCCTTATGATTAGTGATGTCGAGCTTCTTTTCATGTGCTCATTGGCCATTCATATATCTTCTTTGGAGAAATGTTTATTCAAGTCTTTTACCCAGTTTTTAAAAAAGATTTATTTATTTATTTGAGAGAGAGAGAGGGAGACAGTGGTGGGGAGGGGCAGAGGGAGAGGGAAAGAGAGAATTCTAAGTAGATTCCCTGCTGAGCATGGAGTCTGATTTGGAGCTTGATCCCAAGACCCTGAGATCGGGACCTAAACCAAAACCAAGAACTTAGAACTTTTTGAGAACTAAAACTTTGACTACCCTTTCAATTTCTATTGTGGTTAATTAAAAAAAATTCTTTTGAAGACAATTTTGTATTTATATTTTCTTCTTTTGTTGTTTTTATTGAAGTTCGATTTGCCAACATATAGTATAACACCCAGTGCTCATCCCATTAAGTGCCCTCCTCAGTGCCCATCACTCAGTTACCCCAACCCCCCGCCCACCTCCCCTTCCGCTATCCTTTGTTCATTTCCCAGAGTTAGGAGTCTCTTATGGTTTGTCCCCCTCTCTCATTTTTCCCACTAATTTTCTCTCCTTTCCCCTATAATCCCTTTCACTATTTCTTATATTCCCCATATGAGTGAAACCATATGTATATTTTCCTATATAAAGTTATCTACTTCTAGATTCTCACATATATTGGCATAAATTTGTTCATAATATTTTATCATTTTAAAAATCTCTTCCACATCTGTGATTGTGTTACGTTTCTTATTTCTGATGTTGTGTATTTTTTAAAAAATCGGATTTGATGAAAGTTTGTCTATTTATTGGTCTTTTCAAAGACTTAGTTTTAGGGTTTACTGCTAAATATTTTTAAATATTTTATTAATTTCTGCTTTTATTTTAATAAGTGTGTTCTTTCATACTTTGGGGTTATCTTACTATTCTTTTTCCAACCATTATTAGTTTGGTTATTATAGATTTTGCAAAATAAATTTTGGCTTTGAAATTTTCTTTGGTATTGATTGGTGCAACATGTAAATTTAAGATGTGCTTCTTTCATTTCTAAGATGTATATCAGTTATGAATTATTTAGAACAGTGACTCAAGCATTTAAGTGTATAGATTTTGGAGGGAGTATTGCTTTTGTGGTTAATTTCTAATTTTTGCAGTACTGAAGTTAGAGAAATTTTAGAATCTATTGAATTCTTCTTTGTGACTTAAATCTTGGCTAATTTTTGTGAATGTTTCTGGGTGTTTAAAAAGGATATATTTTTTTCCATTTATTGAGTACAAATTGACTTAAATTTGTTAATTGTATTTTTAGGTATTCTTTACCTTTTCTTTTATTTTGTTCTACTTGCTCTGTCATTTTTTTACATGTCTCCATTATGTGTGTTCATTTTTTCCTTACCATTATATTAGTCTCACTGATATATTTCCAAACTATATTGTTAGACTCATGTAGGTTTATGATTTTTTTTAGTTTTATGATTGTTATATAATCTTGGTATACCTTTTATTAATATCAAATATCCCTCTTTGTCTTGTTTAATGCCTTTCACCTGGAATTTTATTTCTTCTGATATTGTTATTACTATTCTTATGTTTTTGGAAGCATCATCAGAGACACAGGCAGAGGGAGAAGCAGGCTCCATGCAGGAAGCCCGATGTGGGCCTCAATCCGGGGTCTCCAGGATCACGCCCTGGGCTGAAGGCGGCTCTAAACCGCTGAGCCACTCAGGCTGCCCTACAGCTAGATTTCTTAAAGCCAACAACATGAGAGTGTCTATCTTTTAATAGAGAAATTGAGCTTTTAGTGATTAATAATCACTAAAATCACTTTGGAATAATCACTTTGTTTTTATTCCTGCCATCTTGTTTTATTTTCTAATTTTCTTTTTCTCCCTCATCCTTCTCCCTTCCTTCTTTTGTCTTTCCTTCTTTTTGCAGAATTACTAAGGTTTTCCTTGTTGATTTTTTTTTTTAGTCTAGTGATTTGGAATCTAATTTAATTTCTGTTTCTCTAATGGCTGGCCTTCAAATATTGAACATATCTACACACTTTCTGTTTGCTGTGTATTGACTTGAACGATATCTGTTTCCTTTCCACAAATAAGAGAAGAATGTCAGCACACTTTCATGTTTTTCATTCTTCCACTATCTCATTCTTCCTATCTTGTTGAGATAATATGAGATTTCACTTTCAAATTGCTATCATGGTTTTGGACATTTTCCCTTAATAGTTACTGTTTTTTTTTTTTTTTTTTTAAAGATTTTACTTATGTATTCATGAGAGACACAGAGAGAGGCAGAGACACAGGCAGAGGGAGAAGCAGGCTCCCTGTGGGGCAGCCTGTTGTGGGACTTGATCCCAGGATCCTGGGATCATGACCCAAGCCAAAGGCAGATGCTCAACCACTGAGCCACCCAGGTGCCCCAACATTTACTATTTTTTTGTTAAAACATTTATTTAAAAAGTTTTCAACCATATACAAATGTAGAAAGTACAAAGATACCTTACGTACCCATTACTCCATCTTAACAACCATAGATATTTTGCTGTGTATTTCATTTATCTCTCTGACAACTCCTCTCTCCCCTTTTGGCTGGGACATTTTATTTTATTTTAGTTTGGTTTAATTTAGCTTAGTTCTTTTGCTCTCTCACCTTTTAGAAAACTTGAAAGAGGAAGGGTGCCAGTGTGGGGGGGTCCCTGCTCAGTGGGGAGTTTGCTTCTCTGTTTCTCCCTCTCCCTCTGCCCCTCTCCCTGTGCACACGCACTCTCCCTCTCTTTCTCTAAAATGAATAAATAAGTCTTTTAAAAAATTGAGAGTTGACATACAATTATACATTAGTTTCAGGTGTACAACATAGCGATTCAACAAATCTATATATTATGCTCTGCTTACCGTGAGCATACAACACTATTACAGTACCACTGACTATATTCCCTATTCTGTACCTTTTATCTCCATGATGGAATACTTTAAAGCAAATCCTGCACCTCATGTAATATCATTATATCAACCCTAAATACGCATCTCAAAAATAAAACAATACATTTTATATAACCACAATGTAATTATACTTAAAAATCAACAAATAATTTTTAATAACTAATACCTGTCTTAACAGTTATTTAGACTTAATTTAAGGTTCACAATTTCTTTGCTCATAACTCATAACTATAAGCTTTATGGCTTCTTTACTAATATGATTATTCTGAGATTAATTTCTCATTCTGTGGAAATACATTCTTGTGTAGTTGTTTCAGATGTTTATGTGAGGGAGTAAACTTTCTGGATGCTTACACTTTTGGAATCAATTTTGCTTTGTTACCTGAATGCCAATTAGGTTGTACTACAGGTCAAAAAATAGTTTCTTCATAATACTGCATACATGATTTGTGTTCTAGTATGTACTTTTGCTAGTGAGAAATCTAATGAAAATTGGCATTTTTGAAAATAATTCTCTTTTTTTCTCTTTGGACGCTTGTAGGCTATTTTCTTTATTTTTGGTATTCTAAAACTTCCTTATACTATGTCTGATTAAGGGGCTTTTTGATAACCTATTCTGCACTTAGTAGGTCATTTCAACCTGAAAGCTCATATCTTTATTTGAATTTTTTGATCATTCCTTCATTTCATTCTCTACATTTGTTCTGTTGTTTTTACCTAAACTTGTATTAGAAAGATGGGATTTTCAGTTCTATCCCCCATGCACTAATTTTTATTTTATATTTTCAATCTTCTTGTCCTTTTAGTTGTGTACTAGACAACCCTAGGTTTGATCCTTCAGCTCATTATTTCATTCTTCAGCTGTGCTCATTTTCTGAATATTTCAACAATGATGTTCTGAGTTCTCTCTTTCATTTGTTCTAATTAAAGGCTTCTCCTCCTCCCTTTTAATTTAATAGATGTAGTATGCTCTGCAATTTCTCTAAAGATATGAATTATATTTACTTTCAAATCTTTTGACTTTATATATTCTTTTTCTTCCTCATGTATTCATTCATCTGCTAATAGAGCATAGTGCCTTTCTGTATTGGTATTCATTTTCCCTGAATTACTTTGGGATTGTTATTAACCATTCTTTGGACTGAGAACCCAATTCACATCTCTGTGGCTCAAGTTCTCATTACAGATCTTCTCTGCACATCATGGAATAAAGAGAACGTGTGCTGCCACGTGAGGTGGGCAGGGAGCATCTCTTTGAGGGTGAGGTTCCTTGGGGGGACCTACTCTCCTTCTCAGGCTCCAAAGCCCAGAGGTGTGATGTCAAGTGCTGCTGCTTTCAGCTTGTGAGCATTAGCAACTGTTTTCCAAAGACAGATCCTTGAGGAGCCAGCCTCGTGATGACTCCAGGTCTCTCCTGAGCCTTTTACCTATCGATCCTGGAACTGCTCTCACTTCTTCCATAGACCATGCATTGTTAGAGATATGTTTTCTCAGATCTTGTTCCTTTGTCAATTGAATCCCATCTGATTTCTTCCATTTACAATTTCCTCAACATTCCTGGTTCACTAATAGTACTATTTCATGTTTTTTTTCCTTCTTAGTACTGTTATGGGTTTATTTTTTAAAGAAATACCTTCTGTCGTCAAAGACTTTAGGAAAGGAGGGGACGTAGAGCCATGTGCTCAGTCTTGTATCTGCATTCAGCTCCAATACTTAAATATGGCACAGGCTTAAGTGTTGTTAAATTGGGACTTAACAATGGCCTTTGTATTCTTAAAGTCTACAATTTGCGGGAGGTGGTAATATCTAACGATATTTGAAGGGCTGTCATTTTGATTTAATACATTCAGAGCAATAATGAGAATTGGGCTTGGGTGTGGGGAAAGGATCCTATAGAACTTGGTGAAGGTGGAGTTATCTAATAGAGTGGATATCTGGATCTTCTGGAAAGGGACCCCAGGGAGTGGTAGAAAGTTCACTGCCTCTCCCATGGCCAAAAATATGTAGAGTACATGAGCTGAAATGGACTTTAGAAGCCATCTGGTTCAGGGATGGTATAAAAAGTTCTCATCTACCAGCCCTGGCCTAGATGGTCTAGATGGTCTCATCTACCAGCCCAGGCTGTGAGGCACAGGAAAGTGAGAAGGGGGGGAGAGCAAGGGGGCATTAGGAGTCGGATAAGGAAGAAGCAGGTTGTAGCATGGATTCACTCACTCAGAATCAGGCTGAGAAACATTCTTTTCCCCTGCTAGGCCTGAGGTAGTGGCCTTCCAAGAAGGGTGAAGGCTCATGGCTGGCTTAGCTGAGACTAAGTACATGTAGACATAATAACCTAATAAAGCAAATGGCATTGACAATGGCAACTGCACTTGTTTGCAAGGGAACCAAGACTTAGAGAAGTTATATGTCTTACACAAAGAGAATGTGTCACAGGCTTGGATTTGAGCCTGTTTGGCTTCTAAACCAGGGTGCTTTCAGTATTTGACTTGTGATCCTCTAGTATTTTTGGGTGGTTACTGGCAGGTGTGTCTGTGACCAGTGGGCTGCTCACTGTAAAGTATTATAAATAGCAATGGAACAACAGCTTTTTGGTCCAGGGAGGGAAGTCCAGCATCAGTTGTCTCCCTGCCAACTCCTCTGGAAGAGTTCCCTCTCATTCTATATCCAGACCATAGGGCTGTGCCATTTAGGTGTGTTTGTATGCATCTGTCCTCAGAGACTCACCTGAAGAGAAGCAGCACAGCTTGGGGAAGGTCTGGAAGTTGTTGTTCCGGTTGATCTCTGTGGTGTCATTCAGGGCAATCTTCCCAAACACCTGAGCGAGGGGAGTGGAGGGGATGTCAGTGAATGGTGGATAGAGAGGGTCCTAGTTCCCACTCATCATCTGGTCTCTTTAGGGGTCATGGGTGACTGTGGAATCAGGCCAGCTCATAGCTTAACTGAGTTCCTTGACATAACCTGGCAGTGCCTCGTAGGGGCAGGCACCTGCTGTCCCATCCAGCCTCTGATCTCCATCCTCCATACTGGACAGTGTAAGAAGAAAAGTACCCATAGGCCCTCAGAAGAGGTCCCTATAGGCCACTGGGAAATGGGCTGAGAGAAGGTGGATGCTGCAACCAGCACTGTGCTTCTGTCCAGGGACAGAGGGCTATCTGGTCTCCTCCTTTTTTTGACTGCAGATTCTTGGGAATGTATATTTTTTCTCTTAAAAAAACTCTATTGAGGAATAATTAACAAATATAATTGTATATATTTAAAGTGTGCAGTGTGGTGGTGATTTGCTGTACAATGCTCGTGGAATGATTACCAAGACCAAGATAATTAACACATTCATCACCTCACACAGTTAACATTGGTAGCTTTTTTTTTTTTTTTTGGTATAGTGAGAGTGCCTAAGATCTGCTTGCAGCCAATTTCACCTACACAGCGCTGTTATCAATTCCTGTCACCATTAGTGACAATTCCTGTCCCTCATAATGCAAGTCTCTGGCCTCTTTTCCTTTGCCACTTCAGTGCAGATGCTCAGTCTTCCAAATCCAGTTCTCGGATTTTTGATCGATCTGGGACTTGGGCAAATTTAATCCATCCCTGAAATTAGTGGGTCCCTTATTTCCTGGCCTTTTGAAGCTATGCCACCTTTTAGAAGCTGCCACCTTTGGTGAGATGGCAAGGTAGCTCTTCTCATCTCAAAAGATGTTGGCCCAGGAACCCGAGGTCTTTTTGCAAAGAATAAGCAGGGGCCTCTTCCTTAGAGAGCTGCTGAGGAAAAGCTCCTGGCTAGTGTGGGTGCTGCACTATGGCACTCTCTTGAGCCCTGGGGAGATGCTGGCTAGAGAGCGCTGCAGGGTTTGAGGTAGGAGAAAGTGCAGTGGGCACCTGTGAGGCGCGGCCCCTGAAACTGCTACATGTTTGATGGGGAGAGCTTGCCTACCTCCCTCCTTCCCTCTTTCTCTCCTCCTTCCTTCTTTCTCTCTCCCCTCCCTTCCTCTCTGTCATTAGCTTCTCCCTAATGGTGCTGGGTTGGGGGTAGTTCTCAGACTGCCAGACCTGGGCAAGGGGAAGCGTGCTGTCTGACACACCCTTCATGTTGTTTTCTGGAAGGTGCTCTCTCTCCTGAGGCCCATGGTGTTAATCTGGGAGTGTTTTTCCCTATGATCAGCAGAGACCAGGCCTGGGGCAAAGAGGAGAGAAGTTGCATATAGCACTTGGCTGTTCACCCTGCCTAAGGACACCCTTTGAAGGGATGTTCTTTTTTGTCTTTTTTTAAGATTTGTTTATTCATGAGAGACACAGAGAGAGACACAGAGAGACAGAGACACGGGCAGAGGAAGAAGCAGCTCCTCGCAGGAGCCTGATGTGGGACTCAATCTCAGGACTCTGGGATCACGCCCTGGGTCAAAGGCAGACACTCAACCGCTAAGCCACCCAGGCACCCCCGAAGGGATGTTCTATTTCCTGTGAGCTTCTTGGCCTTGGAAGTGGAAGCAGAGTGGGGGACAATCAGGTGTCCGGGAACGTGGAGCTGGGAGGTGGGAAGGGAAAGTAGAGGCAAAAGAGCAGCGGGCCAGCTGTCCTACCTGCATCCCAATCACCGCATAGATGAAGAACAACATCACTATCAGAAGAGCCACGTAAGGCAGGGCCTGGAAGGAAGCACAGGAGACAGGGTATGAGGCCGGCAGGGGGTGGCGGCCAGAACCCTTCCTGGGGGGCGCTGCAGCCTGGCTTTAGGAGGAGGCATTTCCAAGAGCCCCACAGAAGTTCTGGTCACCAGGGGGAAGCCAGCCTGAACCACAGCACTGACCTCTCATTTTCCTGTGGTTTTAATTACCTAAGAAGCAGTGTGGTGTACTGAGAAAAGCAGGCTGCAGAGGAAGGAGTATATAGAGTAGGGTACTGCTTTGGTAAAAACAACCAAGAATGAGCAAATGTCCTCCAACTAGACATACGTCTTTGTGCAGCTAGGAGAGACCCGTGGAGGATACACTCCAAGGTTTCCTGAGGAGGCATGGGGTGGAGGCAGGTTACACCCTTCCTTTACTCAGCTTGATGATATTCTGTTAGTTGTAATAAAAATAATTACTAAGGAAAAACTTAAGTGAAGGAAGGATCATGGACTCAAACCCTATTTCTGACGCTTTTTAGTCATGGGAGCTTGGTCATATTACTTAACTTCTCTGAGCCTCAATTTCCTTTTCTGAAAAATGAGAAGAGTAATTACCTCTTAGTGGTTCTGTGGTGTTTAAATGACTCAAGGCTCACACAAAATGCATAGTGTGATGCCTTCCACATAGTTGGGTCCCCTATATTTTATTCACTCCACATATTCTCTGCCTTTCATTTTAGAGAACTAAATTTTCCAGAGTCCCTGCTGCTTCTCCTGGGGAGTGGCCTTCTGGGGCTCAGGGCCTGTTCTGGAATCAGCGAAGCCGCATGATGGAGCCTAGGCAACGCCTCGCCAGGTGTCCACACACCGCTAGATGGCACTGCGCGATCACACGGATGCCTCTTCTGTTGGGCTTGGGCTTCTGCTCCTCACAGCTACCCGGCTCCGCTGCCTTTTCCTAGCCTGGGCAAATGTGTGTGGGGTTGGGGGAGGGGGGAGGAGTATGCTGACAGCCTGTAGGGTCATCACAGGTGCAGGACCCCGGGGGTGCACCCATGGACACGGTCAGCCCCCACTCCTGCTCTCACCGGAATCCTCAGATCCCCAGGGACTGGGCAGGGCATGGCACCCACCGATGGGGAAGGGTGGGGTGGGAGGGGGCTGGCAGGGAGGGCAGCTGCAGCTCATCATGAAGTGGGGAGCCAGCCTGGGCCTGGTGGGCAGAGGACTGGGTCTGAGGAGTGCAGCCAGGCTGGTCCCGTCAAGGGCCTTGGGTGTTGAGTTCCAGGGCAGGCGGTGGCCTGGAAGAGGGTTTATGCCTTTGGGACAGAATTCCAAAGCCAGGCAGGTACCTGTCTGCAGAGCACTTCTGGGGCTGTACCTTCAGTTCTGGGCACATTTGGATCAGGGCCCCACTCTTAGCCTGTCCCCGGGTCCAGACTGGCCAGAGCAGGGGACATGGAAGGAAGCCTGAGATAGGTGCTTCCGAGGGCAGAGAAGCCGCCTTCAGCATTGGGCTGAGGGAAGCATGGAAGTACATGCAGGGGTCCCTACACTTCTCATCTTCAAGGAATTCGAGTGACCTCACAGAATTTGCTTCTCTTTAACTTCAAACTTACATAACACTCCTCAGAGATGGCCAGGGGCGATCATTATTCTGCTTTCACAGATGGAAAATAATGGCTGAGAAAAAAGAATTAATCCTATAGTTAGGCAACCCTGAGCCCCTGTGAGGAGACCATCTCTCCTTGAGTGGAGCGACAGCAGGGTTCTGGAGAGTCTGGCTAAGTATCAAACAGGTATGGACAGCAGATATTGCAGAAATGCCTATTGGGAGGAAGGTGATGGCCAGATCCTGAAAATGCCAAAAGTGGGAGGGCCACTGAGGTTATCAGATCATCCGGGACCCATGTTTTTCCAATTTTTTTTCCACCACAAAATCTCTTTGTGCAGTCAATTCTTACAGAAAAATACAGAGACAAGAGAACAGAAGGGCTTCAGGCCCCCCCTTAGCTCCCAGCCTTCTCTACCCTGACTTTGAGGGAATCTGGGGCTCCAAGAGCATGCTTTTGAAAACCACAAATTGAGTCCAAGGGCCTCATTACAGGCAAGAGGGAAGCTGAGGCAGAGGGTGAGGCTGGGGTCACACAGCTGCCAAGTAGCAAAGTAAGCCCAGCACTTGGCATTTGTACTCAGCACCCAACTCATAGCGCTGCTCCTTCTTTCCCTCCTGTCCAGGGATCCCAGGTGGAACTGTGGGGAGCCTCTTAGGGAGCCCCGCCTCCACCTCCTGGGAGCTCAGGAAGCTTTTCTTCTTGCAGCCTGCTGAGGGTGGAGGTGGCTACCTGGAAGGATTTGATGAAGGTCCACAGCAGGGTCCGGATGCCCTCCCCTCGGCTCAGCAGCTTGACCAGGCGCATGACCCGGAAGAGGCGGAAGAAGGTGATGGAGATGCGGGAGTTCTCCTCTGCATTCTGGAATCCATCGGCAATAGGAGGTGGTAGTTAACACAGCAACGGGGGGGCGGGGGGTGAGAATGAGGTGGGCCCTGCTCTGAGCAACACAGCCCTTGGCTGGGGGGGAGGTAGGGTAGGGTAGGGCCAGCTGCACTAGATTCTCTCCCTTGGGCCACATGGGAGGCCAGATGCTCACCTCTTCCAGGTAGACAACCCAGGTCTGAGGTCTCTGCAGAGCCAAGCTGTGCCCAGGCCCCTGAGCCCATAGCCCCGTTTATCTGTTCTCCTGTTTCCCCCTTCAGTCCTAATTCTTAACCCTCTGAGTGGAGCAACAGAAGATTCCATAAGGAATTTCCATATGCTTTGAAGTCTTCAGGTGGAGAGCTAGCTGCCTTGGGTGCACCCTGCCTTAGCTGCATGCTGAGGAAGCAGCCCCAGCCCCGCTTGTGCCTGGCTTGGATGGGTGACATGCATCCTGAGTGGGATCTGGCTTTCTGCAAGGTGGTTGGGCGGGTCGTGGCCTCCATTCCAGCCCTATGTATGACTGCACTGGGGGTCCTGATGGGCAGGGTAGGCTAACAGCAAATAGGGTTGGAATGGGCTGCCCACAGCTGAGATCTTGTGCCCTGGCAGCTCAGAGCTCTAGAACTCCTGCTGTGTGTCACCTCTTCCCACGTGGGTACAGGGAGGGTGGGAACAGGGGTGTTGCTGACCTCAGAGAGTGTCTGTTTGCAGCCCTTGCCTCACCTCAGACTCTGAAGCTGTTCCCCCTCTACCGGGAGGCCCCAGTCCTCTCCAGGCTGCAGGCGACCCTAGAAGGGGTGTGGGGCACAGGCAGGGTGAGGTGGGGGAGTGGTCACTCTAAGGGAGCCCTAGGTAAGTCCGGGCCCTGGCATGAGAGGACTGAGGGATTCTGCTTAGAGCAGATCATCTCCTCAGGGGAGTGCCGGAGTGCAGAGGCAAAGGGAAGGTGAAGAACTGAGTCCAAGCTGAGGCAGAGGAGGAAGGAATCTGTGTGAGGGCTGCTGGGGTCTGCTGGCTTAGGGCCCTCCTTGGCCTGTTGGGCTTGCAGGGGCCTGGGGCCGGGGCACGTGCCTGGCTAGGGCTCAGGGGCAGGACAGGCTGCCTTGTCACCCTCTGCCTCCAGACCTGAGAACAACCCACACTGACCCTCTGACCCTCCTCCTGCCCGTGCCCACCAGAGGGCCCATGGTGGTAGCCTCCTGGGAGCCACCTTCATGTCCCCCAGAGCTAGTGCAGCTCACCCAGCCCTGTGGACACCAGGAGAGAACAGACCATTGGGCTTCCTGTTACCATTCCCGGGATGTGCGTCCTCAAGGGAGGAGTCTCCAGGTCATTGGCTGGGGAGAATCCGTGTAGGCCCTCCCCACTGCTTGATTCTTTGCTTTCTTTTTAATCACTTCCAGGCCAAGATCCTCCCTGACAACTTCCACCCTTTGGTGGCACCCTTGAAAATCCTGCTAGCGCTAATGCCCTTGAGGGCCCCCCATGGGCCCTTTGTTCTAACCCTGTGGCCTGTTGAGGGTCACGGACATGGCCAGTGGTTCCCGGGGCCACCCATCTTCCTCCTGTTCAGCATCAGAGACCCATGTGGGCGGCGGAAGCCTTCAGAGGCAGCTGCTCCAAGCCAGCACAGCCTTACTCCCTGGGAGGGCTGCACAGAAACAAGCCCGAAGGGTCTCTCCTCTATCTCCCACTCTCCAGACAGGGCAGGAGCCACAGTATTTCTTCTATTTTCAAACCAGAGCTGCCTCAGATCCGCACAGAGGGCCTGTTCCCCTCAGGCAGGGCGGCAGGGCTGCGGCAGGAAGGCCAGGCAGGCGGCAGCCTCGTCTTGCCCCTGCGTCCTACCCTGCCAGGGTATCTTGGAGCCTTTGATGCCCTTAATCTCTGCATTTCTATCACCCGTGTCTACTTGAAATTCTATTTTCTCTCCTTAAAAGGAGGTTGTGTTCCCCCAGAGGGGTAGGCAGAAGAGGCTCAGGGTTTTATAACTCAGCTGTCAGTTCCACCGTGTTTGGGAAAGGAGAAAAAAGAAAGAACAAGCTGAAGTGGGGAACTTCAGCTGTGAGTGTCAAGAGTTTGAGAAGTTGGTGCCACAGGGGCATTTGGATTTGAGTTAAAAAATAGAAGTCAAGTTTGCAGTTTGAGTTCCATGCTGGGCTCAAACTCCGTCCCACACCCCTGCCCCCTGCCCCCCTCCAGCTGAAATTTCCTAATACTCCGGAAGGAGGACAAACACGTCTCCACGTGCACACAAAAATGTCCTCTCGTAAACCAAAGGACAATGCAGTGAAGCAGCAGACCCCAGTGGCCACCCCTGTGAAGCAGGGTAGAGCACCCAGGCTCAGCCTTTCCCTGGGCAGCCAGCCTGGGATGGGCTGTGTCAGGAGGCACCACCTGCTGACCCAATCTTGCCCCCAATAGGCTGACTTTCAGGGAATCAACCTACCCCCTGGTCCTTAAAAAACTCACACCTGGCTCAGTTTTGAAACATGTGATGGCAGCTTTTCAGAGAAGCCTGTTCCAAGGAGACTTCAAGGTCACACCTAGCAGCCTCGCTCACTTTAGGCAAAGTGAATCATAGAGTCCTACATGAGGAGTGCTTCAAACAAACTCCTGAGTTTGTTTTTCTGCATAGCCTAATTTTAAATGAACTTTAGGAATTTAGAAAAACTCAATGGTAACTTTGTTGGAGTGATGGTATTTGGCCACACTCTCAGGAACAGATTCCAGCTTACGACCTTTTACTTGGGCCTTGAAGTCAGAGCCCATGGGGTGGGAGGCAGTTACAGACACTGGATGGTTAGTGGGAAGTCACCGTCTGACTTTCCGTCTCCCGGCTGGATCATCCTTCCCTTTCTTCCTTTCTCAGGAGGCCTTTACCATGGTGCTCATGGGTGCCCTGTGCAAATTTCCCCCATCGGATTAAAGCTAGAGATTTTAGCCCATGCAGTCCTCAGAATGTTAATAGGAAATGGCCTTGGGTCCAGTTCTCTCCCGGTGGCTCATTAGATGGTCAAGATCACAGTGAATTATCACCCAGAGGAAAGCTTGGGAGGGTAAAGAACACCATTACACAACAGCACGTCACAGCTCACACGCGACGGAGCAGGCGAGGCACAGGACAGACACAGTGGCTACATGCAATGGGAGCAAGACTGGCCTCCCAGAGACACAGGGGACTAGGGTGGGTGAGAGTGGGGGTGTTAGAAGAGGGTCACAAGAAGCTAAGAGCGTGGTCTGGAGGGTCGGTCTTACCATAAAGGGAGAGCATTGGGTATGTTCAGCTGGCTTTAAAGAAAGGCAGATAGAAATAAGCTGTAATGAGTCTCCAACGAAGATGCCTGGTACTCTAGGTCTTGGCTAACACAGGAGCAACACCGTGGCAGGAGAGGGCAAAAGGAAACAAGTGAAAGAAATACAAAGCATAGGCCTGGCAGGTTCTGGGACATCACTGTGAGTGTGGGCTCTGCATAGGTGTGTCTCACATCTAGTGAGGACCCAAAGGCCTTCCCTACTCAGGACCATCTCTGGCCACAATGAAATAATTCACACACTCGTTACAAATGAGGTCTTCTGAATTTTTCGGAGGGAAGTTTTGTTTCGTTTTGTTTTCTAAAATGAGTTCTGTGTCCTGAGATAACCTTTGAGGGCTTGTACTTTCTGCACATTAGCTTATCCTGGGCATTGCCAGCTGGAGGAGAAAGACTTTGCTTATGCTTGGTGCATGTCCCTGCCCAAACATATTTGAGCAAAGGAGGCCAAAGGCAGTGGCCCTTCAAATTTAGGGGGAAACTCAGTTTTAGTTATCACTGAGGAGGATCTAAAGAGGTGGTCCTCAAGCCCCTCTGTAGCAGGGACTCATCCTCAAGCTTAGATTCAGGTGGGAGATGGCCCTGCTTAGCTACGACTCTATAGGTGTGGAGAGCCTTGGCCATTGATGTGAAATAGTGAATATATATATATATATATATATATATATATATATATATATATAGTGTATCAAGACTTTGCACACAATTTAAGGTATTACTATTAACACTTCAAACAGCTATTCTCACGGATCTGACTGCTGAGTTCATTTTGGGGCAAGAGCTAAAGAAACTAGCCACCCGTGAGTATCCCATGGCAACCTCCAGTTCCCTGAGCTTATATCTAGGAAGATGCCCCTCCTTTCTGGGCCCCAGCACTCAGAGCTCAGCCTCTGACTGGTCCTGATCATCTGAGCTGTTAACTCTTTCCAGAAGGTCATGACTTTGCTTTTACCCTCCACTTTCAGATGGTTGCTCTTGTGTTTCTGCTTTTAAGGTACAGACCAAGGAAAACTATAATGGAATTTTGAAGGATGGAAATGTGCACAACTAGACATTTACTTTCAGACTGAAAATACTTCTTTGGTAACAGATTTCTCAGCAAATTCCTTTTTTTTTCCTACAGCAAATTGGTAAGATGTCCTTTTTCGGGAATGATGGAGATAAAGGGTGAGGCAAGGGAAGAGAAGGGAAGGGACAGCTCTCTAGTCCTTTACAGAGCACATTCTAGATCTTGGTTTCTGCTTTAGGAGGAATACCAGCTGCCAGGTCAGTCCACAGGCCTGGAGGTGGTGGGATCACTAGAATTTGGCTAGCAGGCAAGATAGAACATAGAAACACACACACACACACACAGGTGCACACAACATACACACATGCACAGAAGACATCTCTAGCTGCTTCAGTGCCTGTCCTCCTGTGTTAATGGCTAAGGAGTTCTGTGTTTCTAGAGCTTCAGTGAGGGAGGGAGTATGAGGGCCAGGTGGAGGTAAACCTATGCTACATGTGACGCCAGGGCATCAGATAGAGTTCCCAGCAGGTGGGGGCCATTGTTCTTCTCTTGGATCCATCCTGAAAACTGCCAGAACTGCCCATCAGTCCTAAGAACCCTGGGCAAATGCCTGAGCATCCTCTGGGTCAGTCCCATCCTGAACAGGACCAGAACGGAGACAATTTAGAGAACCCACCTGGGTTATCTGGCCAAAATGAATTAGTCCCAGCCATGAAAAATTTTAACCATTTTACTTCTTAAACGTTGAGAATCCTTCATGTGGGATTTTTAGATGTCTTAACTGTGTTTTCTTGTTGCTTTTTAGCCTGTCACAGCTCTCATTGAGGATCTTGTCTACTCTTACTTTGAGACTTAGCTTCAGGTGTGTTCTACTCACTTTGATTGTATCTTATTATTTTAATAATATGTACTAATAATCCTTAGGATACATCTCTATAGTAGGAGTCAAGAAATCAGGAAGAGCAATGAGGGCAGTAGGAAGAAGAAGGATGGGGCTCTCTGGGACTCCTATGTTGGGTTCCCAGCCCAGGTAACAACAGCACTCTTAGGAGTCTCACACTGGGAGAATCCAGAGAGTCATAGATTAATTTTTTTCTTGGGCCTTAAGTTATGCTTTTCAGAGGGCACCTTTGGTGTGCTGGAGCTGTGTTTGTCAGTGTCTCATATAGCCTGTTCATATTTGAAGAACTATGTTCATAAGATCCATGGTCTCAAAAACAACTAACCATAATAAAATCAGAAAGCAATCACTGGGTGATTTTGAAGTGGAGATAATAGGAAGAAGCCTAACATATAGCTCTCACCTTTGGAGAACCCACAGTCTACTGACATACTGCCAAACTTCTACAGACATTTTCTCGATGATCTTGAGTAGTCATTTTGGTCTTCGGTACCCTGCCCTGCTGTAAGTGGAATCCCTTGATGAGGTAGAAGGGGAGCTTGGACCTGCTGGGTTTGGGCATCTGCACCTTTATCCCAGAGTCCTGTTTATGCTGTTTGCCACTCTCTGTGGTTCCCTGGTACACCTGGGGAGATCATCTAGATGTCTGGAGAGATCATCTAGCATTAGTTCTGCTTTTTGAGCTAAACTCAGAATTGGTTGGTAGCCTGGAGTACTTATGCCATCCATCTCTGACCCTTTCCCAGATTTGTTCCCAGTTCCCCTGAGTTAGCTTATAGTTTCCCTCTCTGTGGTCTTCCTGGGGAAGAAAGGGTAGAGAGCCTCCCTGAAGACTCCTCTTCCATGAGCCTGGAGACCCTACCTGTACTGCCCTTCTAGAGGGAGCCAACAGAGCTGCTCACCTACTCTGAACATTCTGGCAGAATTTCATATGGCATCCTTTCCAGTAATGGTAGGCACTGAGCAGCCAATGATTTCATCTTTGTTTTCTAATGATCTGGTAATTTTTAAGGGGTTTAAAGACATTGGGCAATTAACTTACTTTGTTCATGCAATTAGTATAAATGAAGTAAGGCGATTATTCCATAGGTGAGGCAGGGGTAGAACATTTTCAGAAAGTCCTGGCTAGTGGTTCCAGCTAACAGGCTAAGGGCAATAGACAGGAAAGCCCAATTACTTTCCTTCAGTACTTATATAGACTACCTAGGTTTGGTATAACTGACAACGACAACGTGAGTGGCACTGGGCAGCAAATAGGAGATATTCTTGGAAAATTGTCTTTCTCAATTAAACTCAGGATCAAATGAGAAGTTATCATCTGAGTGGATGAAGTCTTAGTTTCTGGAATCTTTAGACCATGCATAGGGCCCTGAAGGATGAAATTCAGGGAGTACCAGAAGCTGGCAAAGAGAGGGTTCTCCTAGATGGAGGGGATCTTTCTAGTTGTTAACATTACAGTCTCTCTGGAGAACTAAAAGGTTGTTGAAAAATAGCTCTTAATCATTTAAAAAGGAGACGTTTTCTCGTTCTTTCTTCTTCTTCTTCTTTCTTCTTCTTCTTCTTCTTCTTCTTCTTCTTCTTCTTCTTCTTCTTCCTTCTTCTTCTGTCTCTTCTTCCTCCTCCTCCTCTTTCTCCTCTTCCTCCTCCTCCTCCTCCTCCTCCTCCTTCTTCTTCTTCTTCTTCTTCTTCTTCTTCTTCTTCTTCTTCTTTCTTCTTCTTTTTCTTTTTCTAAACACAGCCAGGAGGCAAGGATTACTAGGGATTAAAGGCTAGGTAGTAGATATCTAGGCTGTAATACCCAATCAAGCTGTCTTCCAGGATGTTCTCTCGAGATCAGGCTATTACGGAGCATTCTGAAGAGATAATAAGCTACTGCTGCACCCTCCTGGACATACTGACTTTGAAAGATAAAGATTACCTTCTGATTCCCCTAGGGAAGGCTGGCTTTTGGCCAGGTTGTGAGCAAACCCTACAGAAGAGAGCTGCACAATCCACTGGTGCCATTGAAACAATGGCTATAATATCAGAGTCACTGAAACTCTACATTCCTCTGAAACAAAGTCAAAAGCAATGTCACAGGAGCATGTAAATCTAGCTACCAAGCTACAGAATTGTTGCTTTTTTTTTTCTTTTTTGAAGTACTCTTGTCCAGAATTTAGGGAGTAAATCTAATATAAACTCCATTTTAGAGGACCTGAGGGTCCGGGTCCAGCTGGCATCCCTCCCTGCTCCCCAAGGCTCTCTGCTTCTCTGTACTCACAGTCTCTAATCTCATCTCCATTTGATCTGCAAGACAGGATGGCTGGTTGAGTTGCAAGAGTGTCATGTGGGATGGTGGAAGCCTGAGGGGTTTTGCTGGTGAGACTCCAGTTAATCTAAGTTGGGAGGACAATTATCAGGCTGGCACACACAGAGAGAGGCAGGAGTCAGAGGCTTCTATAGACATTTAACACCACTGTCATGGTCAGGAGCCAACAAGTGTAGGTTAAGATGGGGGGTTAGGTCTTCATTATCCTTTTATCTCCTCTTCTAACCAGGAACTAAACTGTGGCCCTACAGATGTGGAGGAGATGGGAGATGCTGAATATTAGATCCACCAGAGATGGCAGCAGGGAAGGGAATTTTAAGGACGCCAAAGTAAAATACATTTTAAACTGTAAATCCTCTGACCTTGCATTAAGAGCTTCTTTGCTAGGGAGATGCAAGGCTTAAGTAAGCACAAATCATCTGGGATACATAGAAGCTGAGGGGGAGATGTCAATGGCTTTCAGATTTAAGGGCAAATGAAAGAAATATGGTTCGTTGAAAGCCATTCTTAGAATTTCCATTTTGGTTTGTGGAGGAGGTCTTTGGTCTTTGGAGATAGATCTGTGGAGGAGGGGTGCCAAGGAGAAGGAAAAAAGGAGGGGATGACAAGGGAGGCAAAAACACTGCACAGAAAAGGGCAGGAAGAAATGAAAGAAAGTCCAAAGATGAGGCGGTGGAAAGTGGAAAGAGCAACCCCCCTTCCCCTCTGTCCACCATGTTGGAAACCTCCTGGCTTGCACTGCTTACTAGAATAAACTTC